GATTGATGAGGGTTATTTAACTCAGTTGTGAACCGAATTACATTAAAATCTCCACCTAAGCACCAAGGACCTTCCCATAACCCTTGAATGCTATACAACTCCTTCCACAATTTATTACTCTCTCTGTAATTATTAGGCCCATACACATTGGTTAGAAGCCAAGTAAAATCACCTCCACCATTTTGAATTTCAGAGACAGAAAAGTTACCTACTAATTTCATTTCATTTGTTGAACCACAAAATACGATATGGTCGAGGGTGTTGAACAGTCTTGAACTGTAACTTATCCACCATCTCTTGAGAAACAAGATTCTCACTACTCCCACTATTGATAATTAGGTTACACAACTTCCCACCAGTTGTACAACATGTTCCAAAGATATTCTTTCTCAATCAATCTCCTAGTAGTGGTTCTTGAGGTGCAGTCATAGAGTGTCGTATCACTAGAGCCTCACCCTCAATATCCCCATCCAAGTTTTCTTTCTCTAAAGCATTAGCTCCAGTAGTTTCAGCCACTTGCCCATCCTCAACATGGCCTATATCATCTTGTTGTTCATTAGTGACTTCATCAACCATATGTGTTTGCCCTTCAGTCATTCTCTTAGGACATTCATCTTTGTTGCATTTGAAGTCCCTTGGACTATAGGGCATGTTTGGTTGATCACACGACCCCTACCAGCCCCAACACTTCGACCTACTAATGAAGATGTACTTTGGACAGCACTTAGCCTCTGCCCTAAGCTCCAACTTAATTGAGCTTCAACCTTTAGAGCTAGCTAATATGCATCATTTATCTTATACGGGCAATGTAGGCTGACTTGATCTTGTATTGGCAACCTCAAACCATTGATATATCTACTAACTTTTTGCTTTTCGGTTTTTGACATATTACTCTCAAGAGTTAATCTATTAAACTCTTTTGTGTACTCCTTCACACTCTTTTTCTCGTTGCCTTAAATTCTACACCCTTTGGTAAAGAGTTTACTCATAGTCTAGTGATAAGAATTGGGATTTCAGCTTCTCTTTCATTCTTCCCCAGGAACCAACCTTTCTTTTCCCCTTCCTTTCTTTGACCCTTTGGTAAAATTTTCCACTAATCTAAGGCTATCCCACGCATCTTGGTCGTTACAAGCTTCACTTTTCTTTCTTCATTTGTTTCTTTCCAATCAAAATAATTTTCAATACTGCCCAACCAGTCTAGAAGCTCTTCAGGTTCCAACTCACCTTTAAACTCGAAAATATGAAGTTGAACACCATGACCTTGATTAGATTGTAAAGCTTGCACTATTCGGTCTTCCCACCACTGGTTGCTATTCCTTCCATGTTGATCACCTTCAAATTGCTCAATGTCTTCACTTGATTCTTCAATAATAATGTCAGTGAGTTGATCATCAACTCTAAGAGCTTATCTTCTTCTTCCTAGCCCCAAATCATTTGCTACGTCACCATCCCTAGTAGCATTTTGAGCTGCAAGTTGAGCAAGATGTTCAATCTGTTCTTGCAATCCTCTTATAGCTTCTTGGAAAACATCTATAGTAACGTGTTGTGGTCTTCTACCACCCCTACCACGTCCACCCCTTGTAGCCATGATAATATAGAAAACACAAGAAGGAGATGAACTTTGAAGCAAACCCAAGGAAAGAACTTGCTCTGATACCACTTGATGTGGACAAAAAGACAAATTACATGCAGTACCTCAAGTATACAACAATAAGCACAAAAAATACCAAGCTGAAAACAACAAAATAAGTTGGATTTTTTAGGGATTTCAGACATCAACCTGAAGTAAAACTCCTTCTGAAATAGATATGCTATAGTAACAATAGCAGCAAGCTGGCCTCCCATGCGGAAACGCAGTGATTAAAGGATTGGAAGGTGCCAAAATGGGTCGACTCCTCAAAACCCAAGCTCCCAATGCTTGAAAACCCTATTTGGGGCTAAGCTACATCTCAAACAAATGGATATGCTATAGTAACAATAGCAGCAAGCTGGCCTCCCATGTGGAAACGCAATGATTAAAGGATTGGAAGGTGCCAAAATGGATCGACTCCTCAAAACCCAAGCTCCCAATGCTTGAAAACCCTATCTGGGGCTAAGCTACATCTCAAACAAGATAGAAATAACCAAAAAGACCCCTACAGAAACAACCCCCTTATCTTTTATAAGACTCACTAGTTTGCTGGACAAGCTAGCTAAAATATTTACACAGAAGCCCCTAGAATGTTTTCCTCTCACCAACAACTCCTTAGGAACAAAACTAACTTCAAATGAACACCTAAAAGATAACTTTTGTTACAAAAGACCCAAGAGACCAAAACCCAACAAAAATGCACCCAACTGCCCCTAACAAAAAATCTAACTTATAAAATGATGAAAATACCCCTGGTCCCAAACTGTCAACAAAAATACCCCAAAATAATTATTTGGGATCCCACTACAAAAAACCTTCAAAACATAATACATTCACACATTTTTTTCTTATTTTCTTGCCTCATCAAAACTGGAACCTCAAATAGAAAAGTAAAAAAATAGAGTTAAATGAATCCTCCTACACTCAACTCTCTAAACAAAATATAGAGTAAAGCACCAGCCTTTCAGCTTGACTATCTCTTACTGTGGAAAAAAAAACTATCTCACAGTTTGGAACAAAGCAGAGTACGATTCTCTACACTCAAATCAATGTACCTGGCAAGCCAAATGGATCTTGACAAAAATGATTTAATCAAAGCCAAAATATTTGCAATAACACGATCAAATATTTCCAAAACCCGTTATTTAGCAATCTCAATCATTTTCTAATAAATCCCAATCATCCTATGGATAAAATATTAAAAAGAATATATGCATACTTAAAATCATAGAATAGGGAAAAAAGAGAAGTGAGAAGAAGAAGAAGAAGAAGAAGAAGAAGAAGAAGAAGAAGAAGAAATGCAGGGAAACAAGCTAAGTGTGAAGGTTTCTAAAAGAGTTCCATATGAAATAGACTCCTCGTTTTTTTGACACTTTCCTAATAAAAAAGAGAGGGTGGCAAAGTTCTTTAATAAGCACAATTTGGTGAAGAGTTATATTAAGATCCAAATTCTTGAGAAAAGAGATGATGTGGCCTAATGGTAGAGGTTAAAAGCATTTGTGACTTGGCTTAATAGAGGGCTGAGAAGGGAGAAGGAGAGATTTAAGGATAAAGCAATATGGGTGGTTTGGAGCATGGAGAGGCATGGTGATGTGGACCGTCTTGCTATATATATGGAGATAGGTAAATTCTGTTTCACTTATGTTTTCCACTACAAACAAATAAAAATTTGGTTCATAAATTCTGCAGAGTGCAAGCCCGTAAACTTGGTCAGGGTTAGAGCCCATAGATGTGTTGGATTTGAATGTGTTGTTCAAAGCATAGTCATTGGTAGTCTTGATATTGCAAAATGAATAGAGAAACTATGCTTTGTAGGGAGTACAAAGTATGATAGTGTATTTTGAAAATTTGAAAAAAAAATGAAGGACAAAAGAGTCACAAAATGCTTATTAGAGAAAGAACCACCAAATGCCCAATATGAAACAAATACTTATTTTTTAAAATAAGCACTTAAAAAGCTCGGTGCCAAATGCAAATAAATATTTATTTGAATAAGCACTTGTTTTTAAACACATATTCAACAGGCACTTATTTTTAACATTAAACACTCTTGAACAATGTTTTGAAAACTGGACCAACCGACTGGTTGAACCGTGCCCCATCCCTGGCTGGTCTGGATTCACCCCCCAAACCAGTATGTTTAAAAATGTAAATAACTGTTCGCCCAACCGGTTCAACCAAAGAACCGGTCCCCGTTTTTTACATTTTCACTTTTAGTACAAAAACACAAAAAAAACTAAAATTGGGCCAAACAAGCCATAAGGTTCAATTGAATCCCAATCCCAACCAATGCAAAACCCCTCTTCTATCGTTCTTTCTAGTATTCTATGCTCCTTCAAACCTAACCTAAGTCTAGCCACCACCACCAGCGCCTCCAGCTCCACTGCCGACGCCATTACTAGCCATAACAGATAGTCTCTCCCCTCCTCTTTCTTCTTTTTCTCCTTCCTGCTGGTGAATAATGTTGATTGTGTTCCTCTCCCTAAAACTCCATCGGCCGGTTTCCTCTCCTCCTCCTCCCCCTTCTTCTTCTCATTGGCAGAGGCAACAATGTTCTCTATTCAGTGTCCTCTCCTATCCTTCTTCCCTATTTCATTCTCCTCCTCCTCCCATTGATTTCTCTCTCTCTCTCTCTCTGTATCTAATTATGAATATGATTTTTGCAACATTTATTCATTGCTGATTACTCTTTCTTTGTAATTTAGTACTTTAGTTTACACAAATTTTTAATATTTATTTTTTAATTATTGAACTTGAAATTAATTAATTACTCAGTTTTGTAAATTTTGATTACAACTTTGCTCAAATTGAAATTCTAATTTGATTTTTGCTCCAGGCTTGGAATTTAATCTTTCCTTTAGGCTTCAGTCCACCAAATTCGGCCAAGATACAAGACAATCCACCTAGTTGTTCAGTATTGAAGGTTAGCCTAACTGCCTAAGCCCTCTTGAAATCTTGAAATAAAAACTTAAACTTAAATAAATTGATTTCATATTTTGAATTTAAGTGATATTGATACTGAAATAGCTGAAAATTGAAATCAATTTTAGTTTATCATGTATATGTATGCATTATAATTTTTGAATTTTATTTATTATATATATGCTTATTTATTATATTAATATGGTTCGACCTCCGGTTCAACCTCGGTCAGACCTCTGACCCGCGAACCTCAGGCTTTACCGGATCGAAGCCTGGTCCGGTTTTCAGAATACTAAACATGGCCTTTGTAAATATTGGAAAAGGGGGTGTCTTAATAAATAAAAAAAGTACCGTACCGAATGAAATTGTAGGAAAAAAGTGCAGGAAATCTGAACGGTATGGATAGTTTAGTGTTACGTAACACCACCTTCTTTAGTTTTTCCTTGTCTGTGTAGGTGGGACCCGCCACGGAGATCTTTCAGGGCCCTCAGTCTCCTCTGCCTTGATTTTTCTTGTCGCTCTTCTGGTTTGCTTCTTCTCTCACCTCTCCGTTCTGCCCCAGGCCCAAATATACTTTCAAATCTCAGAAAGAGTGTGAAATCGAAAGCCGAGAGATCTGGGGTTTCGACATTCAGCTTGTGGAGGCAGATTTCTTAAGGTTGGGATTTGATTGATGTTTAGTTTCATTTGTTTTTCTATTGCATCCGTCGTTGTTGTCAGAAATTAGAAACAGAGGTTTAGGGTTTAAATGGTAGATTTTGTTTTGAGTTTTTAAAATATTGCTCTTGAAAGTTTTGACATTTTCCTTTAAGTTTTTAAAATTCTATCTTTACAGGCTCGAGTTGCTTGGTTTCCTGCTTTTGTGATCGGGCAACGTCTGGTTCGATAAGTTGCAGTTTATTGGTTTCTGTTATCTTCGAAAGTTTAAATCAGATTCATTCCAGCAAAAGATAAATCCTTAGGCCGTGAAGCTCAACTCTGGTAAAACGCATTTATCTGTTTTTTTTTTTTTTTTTTTCCCTTTCTTGTTTCCTTGTTGTTTCTCTGTATTTAGCGTTTGCTTTTGTGCAGGTTGAATTTAAAGATTGCAGCTTGCAATTTGAAATTTCATGCATAATGAAGTACCATATAGATGTTAGTTTGGGTATTTTGATCAGACACTGTTTTGTGAACTTCAAATGGTTCTTTTTTTTATCAATAACTTTGAAAAGATTTCATTAATTAGAAAACTTTAAGATACAACAAGAAGTTGTGAAAGAAATTAGCTTTAATAAGCTGATCCGGGACAGAATTACAAATGTGCCCAAAACATATTTTTGTTCTTTGAACCCCTTGCTTTGTTAAACTATCTGCCAACTGTTGGCAGATCTCCTAACCCATCCCACCTGGATTGACATGTTCCTTGACATCCATTTAAATCTTAGGAAATCATTCTTCAACTGTCATGTCACCCTTCCCCTTTCTGCAACCATTTTATCACAGTTTTTGAGTCTCCCTTGATGATCAGTCATTCAGTCTATTAATACCCAACTCCTTAGTCTTTTCAACCCCATATGCTGTAGGTACATACTCTGCCCTTGCCACATCACCCTCCTCCACAGGACCGGATTACAGGGCAATAATGAGTCCATTTTCATCTCTAATGGCCCCCCAATGCCTGAAGGACCTGGGTTACCCACACAACTCCCATCAAAGTTCAGCTTCTTCCAACCATTTGTTGGAGGAGACCATGCCTCAAAGAACTGTTGTCTCCTCCCTGAAAAAGTCTTTGACCTTAAAAGATGAAAACAACTTCAAGCTTTTTACCCAATGTGCCACCCTCACTGTTTCGACTAAATCTTCCTTGCATTTTTCTTTTCCTTCAAATATTCTATCATTTTTTTCCTCCTAAATGGTCCAAAGCATTGCTGCCCTAGTACATCTCCATAGAATCCTACCCCTCATTTTCATTCCACTAATACCATTAGGGCTGAATAAACCTTCCACCTTGTTAGGAGAAGACCGCCTGCACCCAAAAAGGGAAGTAAACCAATTCCAAATAAAACTAACAAAAGGGCAATATATTAGAAGGTGGAAAGCAGTCTCACCACTCAACTTACACAGGACACACCAGTTGGGGGACAAGCACCAATTTGGTCTTTTCCTTTGAAGTACATCAAAGGTATTAATACAACCATGAAATACTTTCCAATAAAAAGCACTGATTTTAGGGGGAGTAGAGGGCACCAAATTTCTTTGATTGGGAAAGGAAGAGAATATTGTGTGGCAACCAACGATTGTAGAAGGGATTTACAAGAAAACGACCCGTCAGAATTAGGACCCCAAATCCTAGAATCTGACCCACCTTCTCCCAAGAATACTGAATTCAGCAATCCTCACAGCTTGGACACTACAAGAAGTTTAGACTCTCTAAGGTTCCTATTAAAGCCCAAGTTCCAATTCAACCTTGGAAGGTGAGATGGTTGATTTAGGAAATCTGAAATAGGCTTATCCTTGAGCCTGGACAGATCACAAAGAGAAGGAAATTTCTCACCCAAAGGAGTATCTTCAATCCACACATCCTCCCAAAATATGATTTTACTACCAGAAGACAAGTCGTACCTGATATGATTTAGGAAGGTAGGGAGAACATCATGGATGGCCTTCCAGGGAGCAGCCAAGGTAGCCCTACGGAGACATCTAGCATCCCATCCGTTGCTCGACATGCCATGAATGCTTGCAACCACTTTGTGCCATAATTTCTCATTTTCATTTGGAAACCTCCAAAGCCATTTGCAAAGAAAAGCCTGATTCTTTTGATAAAAAAAAAGCAAAGCCTGATTCTTTAGCCTAACATTACCTATTTCCAAACTTCTTTCCACCTTCAACTTCCTCACCTTTTCCCTTCTAACCAAATGATCCTTCTTTTTTTCCCCTGGCTCCCAAAGAAAATCCCTCAATTTTCCTCACTATCTCTTGTGGCATCTTAAACATTGACATGTAGTACATTGGAAGATTTGCTAAAGTAGACTTAATTAGAGTTATTCTCCCCCAAGGAGATATAGTTCCTTTTCCACGCTGCCAAGTGTTTATCGATCCTTTCCACCACTAGAGACCAAAAACTAGCAGATCTAGGGTTGTCTCCTAGGGGTAAACCTAAGTATTTCATTGGCCACTCACCTTTCTCAGCTTAGGGAATCTACTGAAAACCTCATTTCATCATCTTCAATGTTGGTTTCAACCAATAAGCTCTTTGACCAATTAATCCTCAAATTAGACATCCTCTCATCAAAGAGTTTCACAACTATCTTCAGAATTTTCCATTCCCTCCCTACTTTCTCCATCACAAAAAATAAGAATATCATCTGCAAACTGTAAGTGACCAAAACATTATCCTTCCCAACTGACCAACCTCTGAATAGTTGCACACAATTTGGTCTTGAAATCAATTTACTTAGGGCTTCAACAATCAAAGTAAATAGAAAGAAAGGGGGTCACCCTGCCTGAGCCCACAGAATCCTTCGAAGAAATCGTACTTTGTCCCATTAACTATTACTGAATAGTGACTAGTTTCTAAGCATCCTTTAATCCATTTACACCACAAATTTCCAAAGCCACACTTCCTCATAATATCAATCAAGAAGTTCCAATCCACTAAATCATAGGGTTTTTCCAAATCCAGTTTGATAGCCACTCCTTCCCTCTTTAATCTCTTTTGAGCCTCCAAACATTCATTGGCAATTAAAATTTGATCAATAATCTATCTATCCTACACAAAGGCCCCTTGAGCTTGAGAAACAAGTGGGGGGATCACCTTCTTAATCTTTAGACACAACACCTTTGCTATCACCTTGTAAATACTGGTGACTAGACTTATTGGTCTGAAATCCCCTGGCTGGTTGGCATTGTTCCTCTTTGGGATCAATGCTCTTGTGAAACCATTGGGTCCTAGTGCTTTTGATCTATTCATAGAAAAGATCGCTTCCTTAATCTCTCCCTCTTCAAACCTTTTTTCTAGAACTTGGACTTGAGTTCCCCCCAATGTCTCCCAATCAATGCCTTCAATCCTCCATCTCTCAATTAGGGGTCTTTTATTAATTGACCTAAAGTGCTCTAAGAATGCTTTAGGAATCTCACCTTGGTCCGTGATCTCACTTTCCCCCACCAATAAAGAAGTAATCATGCACTTCCTTCTCCTTCCATGTGTAATGGCATGGAAAAATTTTGTATTTTCATCACCTTCTTGAAGGGAGATGAGAGATCCATCATATGGATGGCTGAACCCTGCAGGAAGGTTGGGCAAAATTTCAAAATTTCTCTCTCCCATCTGGGAATTACATTGCCTATTTTAGAAAACTGCATTTTCAAGGATCAATCTTGAACCAAACCGGACCATATCTGAAACCAAAAGGGAGGAGAAGGATATACCTGATACGGAGTAACAGTAACTTCCAATGAAGGTGTTCACGCCCAAGGAGAAAACCAAAAACTGCTTCCACTGAAGATGACACAGTGTGAGGTGAAGCAGGATCAACAGGACGACTCTTTAGCAAGAACCGAATTCTTCAGCAAGAATGGAGTAGAGGGCTGGTGAGCACGACTTCAGATTGCTTCTTCTACCGAGAAGCAATATCAAGAACAATTCTTGATCACTCCCACAAGTGGAGATCGAACTGGGTAGGGGCGGCAAGAACAGGGAAGAACTCTGCCGACTGCTGGAATGTCTGTTGTTGTCTGGTGTCCTTGCATGTCCGCCCTGCTCTCTTATTTATAGCCTTAAAGAGACAACCTCCTGATCTGATTAGGAGTTTTCTTAATCCAAATCTTTATTTGGATCTGGACTCTTTAAGTGATAAGGTTAACCCCTTATCTTATTTGTAGTTTAAGATCAGCTTAATCCTAATCAAATTAGGAGTTTCCTGATCCAAATCTTTATTTGGATCTGGACTCTTTAAGTGGATAAGGCTTATCCTCTTATCCTTATCTACTGATCCAAACCCAAATTTGCCCCTATTTAATTAATCTAATTAACCCAGTTC